GTTCTAGTTCAGTTAGTATACTTAAATGAACAATATTGCAGAAGAAGAAAACTAGAATATAAAAGAGAAAGAATATTTTTTGGCAAGCTAGTTGAAAAGACAAAAAAAAAAAAAAAGACCTGGAGGATTAAAAAGAAAAGAATATTATGATTTTATTTTCTGTTCAACCAGCAGGTATCATGTTTGGTTGTAAGACCTAGGATTCTTGTAAAGATATATATTCTTGGTATTTAATGAGGTTCTTACAAAATGAACATAAAAATCATTAAATACAATTTTCTCTGAAATCACAGAAGAAACTTGTGTGTGTATGTTTTTTAAATTTTAAGATGAATTTCTCAAATGAAATCAGAAATATTTTTTCTATATAATGTTTACCCAAAAGAGATTTAGTACAAATTATGCTCAGAGACATAAGCTGATATATCTATACTTAACTATTATTACTCAAAAATTTTATTAATAATTAGTTTTTGCTGATCAATATTATTATGCACCATCTGAAAACATTTTTTCACCTTTCATGCTAAAGTGACACAATTTTTCAACTAAAATGAAACTTTATTTATTTTACTTTCATGAATCAAAGTCAAAATTTTAAATGGGTCCTGCTGCAATTGATTATTTACTTATATCAATTTCTGTATATCAACATCATTTCTATACTATTTATAAATTTCTTTGTTGCAAAAGACATTGGAATTTATCATCTATAAATTATTTTCTAATATATTAAAAATTATATATCATGTCAGTCATGTGAAATGAAGATATGTTAATGCAGATAAAATAAAGTATTTTTAAAAGATACATTGGAAAGCCTTTGTAATAGGCTGCAATTAAATACAAAAATGATGATGGAATTTTACACTACAACTTGATCTATTTAGATTATTAAAATGAGAATGAGATTGTAGCTTAATTTTACTTACTTTTTATTGAATTTATTGGAATGACACTGGTATAATACATCAACTGTATCTATGTTGTATTGTGTGTTCATCCCAAGTCAAGTCTCCTTCCATCACCATTTACCCAACCCCCCCATCCACTTCTGCCACCTCCTATTGTCTTTCCCTCTGGGAATCACCATACTTTTGTCTGTGTCCATGAGGGTTTGTTTTTTTTTTTCCTGCCTAATCCCTTCAGTTTTTTAATCCAGTCCCACAACCCCCTCTCCTCTGACAGCTGCCAATCTGTTCTCTTTATCTACAAATTTGTTTCTACTTTGTTAGATTATTTTGTCCTTTAGATTCCACATATAAGTGAAATCATATGGTACTTGTCTCTCTCTGACTGCCTTATTTCACTTAGCATAATCCATGCTGTCCATCCATCTAAGCTGTCCATTCATGCTGTCACAAAAGGTAAAATTTTCTTCTGTTTTACAGCAGTGTAGTATTCCAGCTTTTTTACCCACTCATCTCCTGATGGGCTCCTGGGCTGCTGACAAATCTTGGCTATTGTAAATAATGCTGCAGTAAACACAGGGGTGCATATGTTCTTTTGAATTAGTGTTTCGGGGTTCTTCAGGTATATTCTTAGAAGTGGAGTCAGTGGTCATAGGCAGTTCCATTTTTCATTTTTTAAGTAAACTTGATACTGTTTTCCACAGTGACTGAACCAATCTGCATTCCCACCAACAGAGCACAAGGTCTCCCTTTTCTCCACAGCCTCTTGAACACTTAGTGTCTGTTGACTTATTGATGATAGCAATTCTGACAGGTGTGAGAGGAGATATTTCATTATACTTTTAATTTGCATTTCTCTGATGATTTGTAACATTAAGAATTTTTTCATATGTCTATTGGCCATCTGTATGTCTTCTTTGGAGAATTGTCTATTCAGGTTCTTTGTCCATTTTTTAATTGGATTATTTGGTTTTTTTAGTGTAGAGCCTTATGAGTTCTATATAAATTTTGGATATTAACCCCTTATCAGATGTATCATTGGCAAATATGTTCTCCCATTCAGTGGGTTGTTTTTCATTTTGTTGATGGTTTTCTTTGCTGTGCAAAAACTTTTTAGTTTGATGTATCACATTTGTTTATTTTCCTTTTGTTTCCAATGCCTGAGGAGATGTATCAGAAAATCTGATACATTGCTAGAAGAAATGTCTGAGATTTTATTGCCTGTATTTTCTTTAGAATTTTTTTAATGGTTTCAAGTCTAATATTGAAGTCTTTTACTACCTTGAAATTAGATCTTGATAAACAAATTCATATTATTAACAAGGTCATGAGGATTTTTTTTTTTTTAATTTCAGTGTCAAGCTGCTTCAATAACCTTGAAATAGTTAGAAAAATTATCAGTACTAGAAGTATTAAATTTTCATTTATGACATTCAGCCAATTACTCTCCTGGCAGTCAATGAACACAATAAAATTAGACTGCAGATAATAGAAACATGGAATGGAATTTATAAATAAGTATGCTCAAAACAATTGAAATAATACAGGCAATATTCCATAGTACCCTATAGATCTGAGACCAAGAGATAACTTAATTGCCATCCTGTGGGCAGTCATTCATCTCAGCCCTGCTAAATGGCTGTTAGTTATTGACTATTACTTCCAAGTAAAGGGAAATCATAATTCACTGAGATAAACCAATCCATATTTAGAGAGGATTGGTAGAACATTTCTAAGTGTAAATATGTATTCTTATAAAACTCACTCACTGGTCTTCATCTCCTTCTAAATATATGATTAATATTTAGCCTAATTTTCTTTCTCTTTGATAGTTTCAACTCCTAGAAAACTTCATTTGCCCATTTTTAGAAGGCCCGTTTTCTTTCCCATGCTAAATAGCCTCTAGTTGTCATTCTATGTTCTCCTTGTTTCTATGTAAATGATACATTAATTTATTTTTAAAAAATGTGGCTTAGAACTAAATCTAATACCCCTGTGTTACCTCCTTGATTAAAAAACAAAAGCAACTGCTCTTTCACTTGCAAATACATAACAGAAAAAAACATTGAGATTCTTATCTCAATTCAATCTAGACACCACCCTCTAATGCAAACACTGAAGGTTTTTTTACATTACTCTCTTAAGCAGCTCGTTACTTCACGTAGGACTTTTGGAAGCTTATTTTTAATCAAAATCCCTCGCTCTTTATTTAAGTACTACTATATACATCTCCTTAAAAACATTTTGGGAAATCTGGTCTCAAATATAAGGTGTCAATGATGTTTTGGGTATCAATTTCTTCATTCAATATACTGTTTTTCTTTCATCTACATTTTGCTCTTATTCTTGTGAACATGAATTTGTGCTATCATTTAAGTGACAATGTCCTACAAGATAAAAGAAGTAATGAAATGAATGTGACGGTTCTTTTTCTAGAGACCTTCTTCTATGCAATATTCTTTATATAGAGTAGATAATCCATTTGTAATTCAACTGAATGGATATTTATAGAACATTTTTTAATGCACACAATATTGATGTAGGAGACTTACAATTGCTACTAAAATTCAGATATTTAATTCAATGTATTTAATTTTGCTACTAAACTTGTCAAAAATTAAATTTATTTTATTTCACATTTTTTCCTCATGATTCTCTCTAGGGAAACAAAGACCTTCATTTCTGTTCTTAGTTCAAAATTCATTCTTTGTATGTGATAAATTTTTATGAATCAATTCTTCTACAACCCTTAGATGATAGGTGACTAATAATGAAGAAATATCAAAAACCAGATAAGAGATGTTTCTGCACACAAAAACACAGAAGGAAAAATGCAAGAGGACATTTAATACTTAATATTATAAGAAAAGAAAGGTCGTTGAATGAGGGATGATAAATGTACAACTTATTATGTTATCATCCCATACGAATTGCAAAGCTATTTGAAAAGTCTGAGGAATGTAAGCAATTTCTATGAAGGCAGAGGCCATACCTCCTATTCATTTTTATCCTCAATGCCTAGTATACTACTTGTTATTTAATAGGCTCTCGCTAAATTTTAATAGGTGTTTAGTTTTGACTCAATAACTAAATGTAGTACTGGTTAAAAAAAGAAAACCAAAAAACAGGATGTGTGAAAGAAACATCTACATTTAAGAATATCAGGAAATTGGACCTATAATTTCAAATGTTCTGTGAGCTATTCAATTTGACAAATAAGAAAAGAAACAGATGTTTAATATATTATATATATTATATGCACTTCAAATATTCTTAAAATAACTTTATTATTAATAACATTTCTTGTGTTATTGTTTTGTTTGGATAATTTCCATTTTATTAACTAAAAACATGAATAATATAAACAACATTTTTTATTTTCATTAATTTTTTGACAGACTTGATCATTCAGTTGCTGACATATTTCTTTCACTTCTTGGATGCCATGTTTCTTATTTTTTCTCCTATTTACCGGTTGTGCAGTCTCAGGCTTTTATACTTGAGACCACATAGCCAGTCTCCTCCCACATCTCTTAAATTTGAATTGCTCCAGTGGTCAGACTTACTTTACTTCTCAATCTACTCACACTGTTGATAATATCTTCAATCTCAGGGCTTTAAATTTAAAATCTATGTATATGCCTCTGGTCAGCAAGATTATATCTTCAAACCTGGTCTTTCCTGAATTCTAGACTAAGTATATCTCACTTGATAACTCCATTTAGGTCACTCAAATTGTTCAAAAATAACTTCCTTATATTCTCCCATGAAATCTGACCCTCCCAAAGTTTTTCATCTCATTCGATAGAAATTCCAAGCTTCCAGTTTTTTGGTCGAAAAACTTGTAATCATCCTTTATTCTTTTTTTTTTTTTTCCTTTTAGACTGCTCATCTAATCAACCAGGAAATCCTCTTGCATATATTCCCAAAATTCTCCAGAAAATTGATTAGATTTTAATAATATGACTTTTCAAATACAAGAGCTATTTATGGAACTCATAGTGGGAAATAGTAAAAGGGCCAAAAATATTAAGTATATTTAATTGTAATATGTCATCATTCAATTTTAAGCACTCTTTCTGATTTTAGGAAAGGCCTACGCTCCAGAATTCTATTATGATACCTATAATCCTGTGTGGCAAAACAGACACCGTGTTTACTCCTACAGTCTACAGTGGACTCAAATGAATCCTGATGCAGTGGATCGGATTGTGGCGTACCGACTGGGTATTAGGCAGGTGAGAAACTTAATCAGTGGCATTTTGTTTTAATTTGTGACACCCCATGAAGACATTCTTACTATGGTTTGTTGCGATTTTAATTATTTTGCATGAATTTCAGAATATATTTTTCTATATGAAAGATAAAATTACACAGAACTAACTGTTCCTAATTATTTACAAATCTTTGCAATTAATTTATGCATATTCTTCTGGCAGCAGATATATTAAAGTGACATCCTTTGAGCTTTCTAAATTCTTCATCACCAGATATGTTATAGAAATTACATGTGATAATTGCTATGAAAGAAATATTTAAGGTGTTCTCACACTTACCTAAACTGCATAATTCTTCATCATAGATTTTTTACCCTAAGGGTTTCAAAGTACATATAGGATGCTTTTAAAGTTAATTTAATATATATGAAGGATAGAAATATTTTAATAAAATGAGAAGAAATAACCAAGTATGATGATTCCTCAGGTAGCTGAAGATTATAAATTATGTGAAAGTACTATATTTTTTCAAATGTACCACTGTTAAATACAATCATCCTTTGTCTGTGCCAATGATATTTTTGAAATTTAAATGTAGATCTTTACATTTTTTTCTGTTACATAGTGTAGTATCTGGGGTGACTGTTTCAGCATAACAAAACATTTTTGAAGATTTATTTATTTTGAAGATTTATCTATTTTGAAGGTTTTTCTATCTTTCCTCACAACTTTGTATTATCCACAGCTTTGTAAATTATGTTCTCCAGTACCTTAACTAAATCACAGAATAGCATTTTGAGTTTGGACAGTAGGAAAAATTTTTGTTTGGTGAAAGACTAATCAACCACCAGTAGTGGAGTCAGTGCAGTTAGTTGTACAGTCATGAAAGCAACATTTTTCTATCTGGTTCACAAAATATTTTGCGTAGAATATTTTTCTCCAACATGTCTAATAATCCAAAAAATACTTCCCTAGTGAACACATCTGGGATTTGATAATCACTGCTTCCTTGTCTAAGAATTCCCAGGCCCCTGATAGAGTGGACAGTAGTGGGTCATTTGGAAACTTTCCCTATATAAGCCCTCATCTACTTCAGTCCCTAATTAAATTTGAGTAAATTCCAAATCTATATCAAAATTGTTTTAATTTAATGATAAATTTTGGATAGCTAAAATGACAGAGCCATAATTTCATCTTTAGTTTCTCACTTTCTGCCTCCTCTACTTCCTTGGATTATCTGGGTAACTGCCCACGGCTTCGTGTCTGCTTAAGGACTGCCTATTTTAAGTCTGCACTGTTTACCCAGCTCTGTTGATCAGGCCCTTCCTTTACTCTAACATTCCTCAAAACCTTTGTTCCCAATGTCTCTTTTGGGTATGCAAGTCACTTTCTCTGCACTTCAGATTTAGCAGAAGAGTAGTTACCATTGGAGTACTCCCCCTCAGACAGATATTAGCAGAATTAGACTCTCTCCTAAGAGGACACAAGCTAATTAAATTTTTTCCTTCTCATCCATACTTTGTACTAATTATTAATAAACTACCTTCTGTAATATATGTTGTCAGTATTGCTATGCTATTTTTCAATGACAGTTTAAGTTTCTCTGTTTAAGTTTCCTTTCCTAACATGAGCATCTCTTCTAAATTCTGGTATATATGTGCCTGATCATAAAACTAGTATGAAAAGACACATTTTCCAGTCACTGTGTTGTTCCTTGTGAACAAATTAGATAATTTACCCTTAATCAACTATTTTAGAATAATTTATATAAGTGTGCATATGTGTATATAAATTTCCCATTAGTGTGTTTTGTTAAAATTGTGAATTCCAGACACATCTAGCTTTCAATTCTAGCCAATCTAGCCTTATTGTTTGTCAGCTATATAATCTTGAGCAGATTTCTAAACATGCCTAAACCTAGGTTCCTACCTGGTAAATTAAAGATAATGTCCCTATTAAACAATGGGAGTATAGAGAAGGAGACATTCTCTATTTTTCTCACAGGCTAGGTTCCCTTGTGCATGGCACTACTTGCACAAACATCTATGGCAAGTATTACACTTACGTGACAGGGATATCTAAGGATTAAAAAAAGAGTGCATTTTTAAGAACTTAACATGTATGTGATTTTCATTTTAGTTTTATTTAGTATACTGTATATTCTAGACCTAAGTATTATTCTAAGCTTCGATTTCCAAAACATAATTTCTAGAACTATAATTGATATAGTTCTGTTTAATAATAGGAAATAATGGTAGTAATAGAAAATTAGGTTATTTTCTAAATTATCTTAGAAATCTTGAGTCCTTTTTTCTCAGGTATGTACATTTAGATATGAACATTGTTTTAAGACACAGATACCAGCATTTTCAAAAATCACTTTTGAACTCTAATCCAATGTTCATTGTAATAAAGATTTTGTACTACATGCACATGGCCTTTATAATCTCCTAAACTATCTCAGAATCTTGAATCAATGAGCTTGAATATAAGAAATGTAAGTTGGATAATTAAATAAACAATGTTTGGAATGTAAGCTAAGCAACATACGTTTAAAAAAAATGGCTATTTCCAGTGCTTGCTGGGCATCTCATATGGTTGGAGCATTGTCTTGTACATCAAAAGGTTGTGTATTTGACCCCCAGTTAGGGCACATATCTAGGTTCTGGGTTCAACCCAGCCAGGGCTTGTACAAAAGGCAACCAATCAATGTTTCTCTCTTTGTTTCTCTCCCTCCCTTCCAATCTCTGTAGAATCAATAAGCATGTCCTCAGGTTAGGATTAAAAAAATTGACATTCCTCCTAGTAAATAATATTTTTATCTTTGATTATGAGACCACATTTTCTTCAAGGGATTATTAGTAATTTATGTTACATATTTTACCCTGTATTTTTATTTTGAGCCTATATGTCTAAATAATTTTTAAATCCATAAAATATTTAGGTTATCTAGTGCAAAGTACCTTTCCTTTTCTATCAAATATGGCCTTAATTATGAAATAAATATATGTATTAGATGATGTCTGAAAAACAAATTTGATTCATTAAAGCTAATCGTAAAATGAGTTCTGAACAGGTATACTTTGTTTTCAGTCCAGAAACTGTAAGAAATTTTATTACTTATTCTTAACTTTAGTAAGATTATAATATTACTGATATGTTACTAAACCCACAGCTGAATGGGGTTGGAAAACTGAGCCTAGTATTCCTCCAGTTTCCTGACAAAATAAGCTGATCTTTGGTTAATCTATGGTACCTATTTAAATATGTTGAAAAAAATTGTCTCAAAATTTACATACTTTCTTTTTCTTAAATTTTTTCTTTGATAATTCTTTCTTTTTTTATTTTAATTAATTTATTTTTTCAAATACATATTTCTGTCTTCCCACCACCACTTTCCCTTGCGCCCTCCCCTATCTCCCTTCCTCAATCCTTCCCGTTTGGTATTGCCCATGAGTCCTTGCTATATGTTCCTTGACTTGCCCCTTCCCTTCCTTTCCCCCCCGCCCACCCCTCCCTCCTTCACTCTTGTCTCTGTTGGTTTTTTTCCCTTTCAATGTTGCTGGTCTTATTTTCCTTGCATCTTTGTATTTGTTGGTTAGGTTCCACTATAGGTGAGATCATCTAGTATTTGTCTTTTGCTCCCTGGCTTATTTCGCTTAGCATAATGCTCTCGAGTTTCATCCATGATGTCGCAAAGTTTAGTAGTTCTTTTTTTCTTTCTGCTGCGTAGTATTCCATTGTGTAAATGTACCATAGTTTTTTGATCCAGTCATCTACTGATGGGCATTTAGGTTGCTTCCAGCACTTGGCTATTGTAAATTGTGCTGCTATGAACATTGGGGTGCATAGGTTCTTTTGAATTGGCGTTTTGGGATTCTTAGGGTATAGTCCCAGGAGAGGAATCACTGGATCAAGAGGCAGTTCCATTTTCAGCTTTTTTGAGAAAATTCCACACTGCTTTCTACAGTGGCCGCACCAGTCTGCATTCCCACCTACAATGTACTAGAGTTCCCTTTTTTCCACACCTGCCAGCACCTGTTGTTTGTTGATCTGTTTATGATGGCCATTCTCATCGGTGTGATGTGGTATACATCATTGTGGTTTTTATCTGCATTTCTCTGATGGCTAGTGATGCTGAGCATCCTTTCAAATGTCTCTAGGCCCTCTGTATCTCAGCCTTGGAAAAGCATATGCCCAGGTCCTATGCCCATTTTTTGATTGGATCATTTGTCTTCTTGGAATGGAGTCGAGTGAGTTCTTTATATATCTTGGAGATCAAACCTCTATCTGATGTATCATTAGCAAATATATTTTCCCATATGGTTGGCTCCCTTTTCATTTTGCTGATGTTTTCTTTAGCTGGGCAGAAGCTTCTTATTTTGATGAGGTCCCACTTGTGTTTTCTTTTCCTTTATGTCCCTTGCTTTAGGAGACATATCGGTGAAAAAATTGCTGCGTGGGCTATCTGAGAGTTTCCTGCCAATGTTCTCCTCTAGGACTTTTATGGTGTTGCGACTTATATTTAAGTCTTTGATCCATCTTCAGTTTATTTTTGTGTATGGTGTCAGCTGATGATCCAATTTCAATTTTTTGCATGTAGCCATCCAGCTCTCCCAACACCATTTGTTGAAGAGGCTGTTATTGCTCCATTTTATGCTTCTGTCCCCTTTGTCAAATATTAGTTGCCCCTATAGACCTGGGCTTATTTCTGGGCTCTCTATTCTGTTCCACTGGTCTATGGGTCTGTTCTTGTGCCAGTACCAGATTGTTATGACTATAGTGGCTTTGTAGTATAGCTGGATGTCTGGTATTGTGATCCCTCCTAGCTTGTTTTTCTTTCTCAAAATTGCTGTGGCTTTTCGGAGTCGTTTATGGTTCCATATAAATTTTTGAAATGTCTGTTCTATTTCTGTGAAATATGTCATTGGTATCTTAATAGGGATCTTTAATAGGGATCTAAATAGGGATCTTAATAGTAGAATCTATAAATTGCTTTGGGTAGTATGGACATTTTGATG